CCCCTCCACTAGCTGACCAAATCCCATCAATGATATTCAACAACCCAGAAAGTGTCACCTTGCTGCTGCTCTCAGTCTCATCTTCACTCTCCACCTCCTCATCACCGTTACCATCTTCACCTTCCTTCTCCTCTTCACTCTCACCCTTCTTTGTAGTCTTCTTCTTAGCTTTCTTCTTCTTCTTCCTTTGACCTGTAATCTCAAGCGAACAGTCAATATCCTCTATAACAACAACCGCCTTGCTCGATATCTCAATCAGCAGCTTCCTCAAATCCGAATTATCCTTCACCGCAGTCAGCTCCAGGTCATAGATGTCATAGCTCAAGAAGTTTGCTATAGCAGCAATCATGGTGGTCTTCCCAGTCCCCGGCGGACCATAGAGAAGGTAACCCCTCTTCCACGCCTTCCCAATCCTCGCATAGTACTCCTCCGACTTGCTAAATGCCAGCAAATCATCCATGATCTCCCTCTTCCTCGCCGGATCAATCGCCAGAGTGTCAAACGACGCCGGATGCTTGAACACAATATGGCTCCACGACGCCGTACTGGAACCCGTATACGACTTCTTCGACCCGTTGGCGTAAAGCTTCCTCTGCCTGTGTTGCTGCGAGATGGCGTTGCCTTCGTCGACGACGTGCTTCAGGTAAGTCCCGGTGACGAGATCCCTGTGCTTTCTGTTGAACGTCAGCTTGTAGACCTTGTCCTTGCCGGAGTAGCTGTGTTTCTGTTTTGAGCTCTCCTTGGACCAGACGAGGGTGACGCCGGCGAAGGTGTCGGAGACCTCCTGGTGGTCTTCGATGGTTAACAGCAGCTTGTTCTTGTTTCCCTTGTAGGAGTCAGCCTTCAGGGACGTGGACTGCTGGATGGACTTGGAGCTGAGGTAGTTGTCGATGGCGGCGTAGGCGGTGTTGCGCCGGTAGTAGAAGTCGTCGGAGTACTCGTGGAAGGTGATCTGGATGTACGGGTAGAGGAAGGCGAAGATGGACTTGTGGAGGAACTTGCCGATGTGGTTCTGGAAGTCGCGGGGAAGGTTTCTCTGGAACATTGTGCAGAGGAAGAAGAGACTCGGGAGGAACGAGGTCAGTTGGCCCAACATCTTTGCAAGTCTTGATCTTTATTTCTCTGCAATGGTTTCTTTCTGGTTTAGTGGTAAGTGAATTCTGGTGATCTTCTTGAAGGTGTTTGTAGTTTTGTGCCATGTTAAGAGGTCAAGAGCATGAAATGTTTGTGGCTGCGAATATTTGTCAGAGATGGAAAAGCCACCAGAATGTTATGCTCTGTTTCATTCATCATCATAGGAATTGTATTTTCTTAGTACTCTGCTCTGTTTTGTGAACAAGTGATAACTGTAGTATCACGGTAACAATCATAGACGTTGTTGGCATGGCTTCCATTTGTTAGAATTGCATTTTGCCAAGGACAGCATATGGTCACATGGTCCAATCCGGTTTGGTCTAAAAGCCGATCGGTTTGCAATTGGACCAATTGGTATACACTTCTAGCCAAAACCCTCATGATCAAATCTCGAATTGTTTTACCTTGTTACAATTTAGTTATCGCTCTCTTCTGTAGTCTTGTTATTATTCTCTGAATCGCTAGTCTCAACAAAAACTCTATTGTAGAATGATCAACAGAGAAACTAGAGTTACTAGATAGAGCAACAACAGTCCTGTTTTATTTCTTTCATCTAAACAGAGATCAGTGACTTGGTTCATGATATCAATCTAGCCTCCATGATCAAAGATACACATCCAAACTATTAATAACTTCTAACCAAACCACCCATAATTTTCACACTCTCACCTGAACAATCAGAGTTACCACACTTCATCGTTTACTATTCCTCTTCCTTCCTTTCCCTGCTACCTCATCATCCTCCGACGATGACTCACCACTCTCCGACGACGATTCACCACTTTCACCATCACCATTTTCCTCTCCATTCACTTCACCTTCTTCTTCCGCTTTCTTCTTTCCTTGCTTCTTCTTCTTCTTCAACTTCTCCAGAACCTTCACCAACTCCCTCAAACAACTCTCAACACCTTCCCTCTCTGACTTGGGCATCAAACACTCTGCAACATCCGCCGGAGTGATCTCCTTTTCTCCCAGCAACCCCTCGATCCTCCCAAACAATTCATGGTCATCCAAATCCAGATAATTCCTCGCCAGCAGCTTAAACGCCTCGAAGCAGCAGTACGACATCTCGATATGCCGATCCATCCTCCCTCTCCTTATCAATGCTGGATCAAGCTTATCGACGAAATTCGTGGTGAAGACGATGATCCTCTCCCCTCCACACGCAGACCATATCCCGTCGATGAAGTTCAGTAGCCCCGATAGCGTCACCTTACTCCCCTTCTTGCTCTTCTTCTCTTCCTCATCCTTCTTCTTCTCCACTGGATCCTTCTTCTTATCATCTTCCTCGCTACTACTACTGCTCTCTTCATCACTACTGCTGCTACTGCTCTCATACTTCTTCTTCTCCTTCCTTCTCTGCCCTGTGAGATCAATCGAGCAATCGATATCCTCGATTATGATGATCGACTTGCTGGTAGTCTCAATCAGCAACTTCCTGAGCTCGGAGTTGTCCTTCACCGTGGTCAACTCAAGATCGTAGATGTCATAGTCCAACAGGTTCGCCATTGCTGCAATCATCGTCGATTTCCCAGTTCCAGGCGGGCCATACAGAAGGTAGCCCCTCTTCCATGGCTTCCCGATCTTAGTATAATACTCCTTCCCTTTACTGAACTTGATCAGATCATTCTTGATCGCCTCCTTCTCGTTCTCCGCCATAGCCAGAGTCTCGAAATTTGCAGGGTGCTCGAACTGGACATGGCTCCACTTCGTCGACTGGTATTCGTACCAACTGTCGCTAGGATTGTTAGTATAAAGCTTCCTCTCCCTGTTCCTCACCGCAATCGCCTTCCCGTCCTTCAAAACCTTGTCGATGTACGATTTGGTAATGGCGTCTCTGTACCTCTTGTGGAAGGTCAGAGTATAGTACCTCCTCTCCTCTGTCTTCGGGTAGAACGAGAAGGAGGGCCTTTTGGGGGTGTTCTTGTTGGAACTCCACCAGATTTTGATCCCTTGGAACTCCTCCATCACTTGCTCGTGGTCGTCCATGGTGAGGACGAGGGACTTGCTGCCCTTCACGACGTCGGCCTTCAGGCGCTTGGCCGTGGCGGTGGTGTGGTCGGCAAGGTAGTTCTGGATGGCGAAGTAGGCATCGCTGCGCTTCAGCTTCTCGCCGGTGAGCTCGTGGAAGGTGATCTGGATGTAAGGGTAGAAGTAGGTGACGAGCTTCTGGGTGTACTTGTGGGCGTGGCCGCGGAGTTCGTATGGGAAGTACTGCTGGAACATTGCGTAGATGAACATCAGGCCGGCGAGGGCCGAGCCTAAGCCGCCCCACCATGTCTGATCTCCTCCTCCTCCGGTGGCCATTTTGGGGAAGTGGGTTTTGATTTATGGAGCTCTGGTTAGTTGAAATGGAGGGTGTTTAAGTAGTATAGGAGAGTTGGGGGGTTCTTTTACTTGGGGGCTAAGGTAAAGAAGAGGAGAGGAGCAGATTCCACCATGGGCCATGGCTGCTGCTCTGCTTCTGTTTGCTTGCAGTTTTCTCGGCTTTTAAAATGAAACTAGTTTTTTGGCCCGCGCTCCGCCGCGGTAAGAAACTAATGATTTAGTTAAATTCCAATAATTCACATAATTATTCACATAAGATACATACGTAAGTTTCACGTAATGTCTTAATTATTACGGATAATATACATCATCCATTTGTTTAAGTGATAAATAGTAAATAACTATTTTTATATAAGGTTTATATAGTGTTTAATCACTATTGAAAACTTACATATTATTATTTTTAGTTGATACATATAAAATGATTATTTGTCCATTAACTTTACGTAGTGTCATAATCGTTAAAGAAAACTCATGTAATATTATTACATAAATCTTTCATAATATGTGGTCTAATAATGAAATCAAATTATACTAAGTATGAATTTTTAATTTATGTAACTTTTATAGAATGTTGTAACATAAATTTTTCATAATAATGTGTGGTTTAATATTAAAATAAAACTTTAGTAACTTTAGAAAGTAACATGAAAGTAATATATGATTAAACTGTTATATCAAAGTTAACTAATTAGAAGCTTATGGTAAGATTGTATGTAGGAGATAAAGAACTGTTATAGAACGTTGTTACATAAATCTTTTATAATGTGTGGTCTAATGAAAAAATTAAAATTTAGAAAGTAACGTATGATTAAATATGCTATGTCAAAGTTAACTAATCTTGCATAATGCGAACTGATGACATGCTAAATATTTTAGTTAACAATAATCTTGCTTTCGGACCAGTTGTGATCCTCATTTTTCTTTGCACTTGATTCCGTCCTGTCTCACTCCGATCTGATTATAAACTGAATCAACCGATTTCTAACCTTATTTATTATTCACCAATTATCATCTATAAAAATATGACTACCCTTCCTATACACATGGATCAATTAGATTACCAGATATATGTTCTGCCAATCAACCCATTACCTATCCCTGCTTCTCTCCTTTGTCTACCAAGGACGGGCCTATCATAGGGCAGGCCACATTATAAACCTCCAATATTGTGAACAGTAACCCACGTAAGTATTTTGGGTAATTGGAAGATGTTTCCGTTAAAATTGGTGCTTTTGGCTATTTAATCGTATGGAACAGTAAACAAAACTTGCGTTGTTAATTAATTAACTTGGGAGCCACGCAGGGGATTTGGGTCCCAAGGGAAGAAATTCTACAGAGTAGGTATTTTGAAATGGTAACGCGTGATTAAGACCACGTAATCATCTTTCCATGTGAATGATTAAGACTTAATCACTACTTTAATCATGCTAGTATAGTCTTCCAACAATTGTTTTGTATGATCAGTTGAAAACCTGCATCGTGATGATGAAACCATGATCGAATCAAGACATCACAATCCAAAGAGAGAAAACAAACCTGAATTAATCAGAACCTTACTACAAAGAATGCAACCAGTGAGTCATATATAACATCTTTGATGGGTTTTCTTTTCTCCTATCAACAGTCAGTGGGAAGAGGGTATTGACAGTATCTACTGTTCTTCATACACAGAAAAAACCTTTCATAAGCAGCCGCCATCTTCCCGGCGGTAAACATCGACCCAGCATACTTCCTGCACGCCATCCCCTTCCTCCGCATCACACCAACCCCATCTCCGATCACCACCTCCAGAGCCTCCACCAGCGACTTCACGTTCGGCGAGAACGTGTACCCGAACCGGTCGTCCACCACCACCGTGCCGGTAATGCTGGGGTAATTGGGCGTCACGACGGGCTTCCCGCAGTGCATTGCTTCGATCAGAGTCAGGTCCAGCCCCTGCGGCCTCATCGTAGGGTTCACGAACACGTCGATCGCGTTGTAGAACTGCGACAGCTGAGATGGTTCCAGTGCGCCTAGGACCTTCACGTTTGGACCCAGCTCGGCGTACCTTCTTCCCCAGGGGCCTGATCCGGCCACCACCAGGCAGATTCCGGGGTACCTTGAGATCAGCGACGACATTGCCTCGTGGAGAATCGGGTGGCCTTTGTCCCGAACCAGCCTGCCTGCCACTCCCATTACCAGAGTAGCATTGCCTGAAAATTTTCATAGGATGAACAACCATGATGAAATGTGTTGATTAGTATGTGACACTGAACTTGACATTAGGGACAAGGTTAATTGTGCCAAAGTGTTATAATGACAAATTTGGTACCAAATTTATACGAATTGCCCACCTGGAATGCCGTATTTCTCCCTGAATTCCTCCCCTGCATCAGGATTGTAAGCAAATTTGGAATCATCCACTCCATTGAGAATGACATGGACATTCCTCTGCGGCAGCTGGTAAATCTTCACCAGCACCTCGCCGGCGCTATTACTGATACAGATGTGCTGCTTGTAGCTCCTGAAAAACCTGATCTCGTCCAGAAGCTTCGGCATGGCCACCGCAAGCTCCGCCGCCGCCGGGGTCGCCCCCGCCCCCAATTCCCCTCTGGGGTTCTCAAACAGCTCCTCGAACAGCTTGGAGTGCATGATCTCGTACCAGATCCCGTGCCACGTCACGGCCGTGTTGGGCACCGCCTTGGCGCGCCAGTGCGGCAGCGAGACGCTCTCCGTGTGGACGTAGTCGAAGGGGCGAGCGGCGGCGTTGATTTTGTGGAAGATCTCGAAGGCGAGGGAGCAGTTGACGGATCCGTGGTCGTTGGCGGCGAAGTAGACGTGGAGGTTGTTGTCGTGGATTTCAGGGTGCGGGCGGCGGTCGGAAGGGACGGTGAAGACGTGGATCTCGTGGCCCTTGTCGGCGAGGGCGCGGTAGAGGGTGGCGGCGTGGCGCTCCATTCCGCCCGGGTTGGCGCCGATCGGCCACGTCTTGGAGAAGACGGCGAGCTTGAGCTTGTCGGATGTGGTGGTGGGGCCGAAACAGAGCTTGTTCCAGGGGAAGTTGGCGTCGCGGAGGTCGCCGGAGAAGGGTTTTGCGGCGGAGGGGAGGGAAGAAAAGGAGGAGGAGCGGGAGTGGAATTGGGTAAGTGGGGAGAGGAATAGGAAGAGGGAAGTGAAGAAAATGGCTGCCCAGGTGATGAATTTGGAGAATTTCATGGGGATTCGATTGTGGCGAGGAGATGATGAAACGTAAGTGGGTCTCGAGCTATGGTGCTTCAAGCCCATGGCTTTGGTATGGAGAACGAATGATTTTGGCACCCAGGGATTAATTGAGGGTGGGGGAAGAATGGGGTATTTGTCAAAGGTTCACTTTGCGTCTTTTTTGTCCCTTTTTCTTCTTCTTGCTTGCTTGCTTTGGTCCGCCATTAATGGCGGATCTCCTCGAGTTCTTGCAGAGCAAGAAGGTGAGGCACATGGGATTGAGGGAATTTGTTTGACTCTTTTTGTTTAAGAAATTGCAGTTTTCAGAAACCCAAGGCAATCTACCATGGTGCATTGAATGGACTAATCAATCTAATTGACTTTTCTTCTATTGATAGAGCAAGTTTTAGTGGGATGATTGCTGTGTACAGAAGGTGTGAAGGATTCCCCTTTTCTGGGTTTGGTGATTATGGCGGCACTTTTATGGCTCCTTCAAATTGATGAGAAGAAGCTGTTATAGCACGTTAACTGTTAACATTCACTAGAATCAATACCCGCGGCTACGCCGCGAGAACTAAACAACTCCTAAACAACTTGTTGCAGTATGATTGAAAGAGTTAAACTTGTCAAATCCAAATAAGCAAACTCCACTTAGTTAACTTAAGTAAAATATGTCATCAAGTACCATTACAACATAGTGTCTAAGAAAACACAATATATGAATAAATGTCTCGACATCATTAAATATGAGGTAGAGTCTTAATGAGTCTCAAGTCTAAAGGCAAGTGGATTCCATACGATGATGACTAAAATACGGAATTGTCAATCTTTGTGTCTTGTCCAGTTCAATTTTGACGGTAAACTTCTTTCCCATGACAGAGTTGAGGTAGCGTAGCGACATTGTTGTTGAAGAGGAGAATGCATGAGATTGAGATGTCATCACTTTCGATATCGATATGAAACCTGTACATAATTTGGTGGAAATGTTGTAAGCTTTTGCATTGCTGGTTTGTATAGTATCGTTATAATATGTACATGGAAATGTTTGAGTTGTGATCAGAAGCACAGTGATGCAACCAGTGAACATGTAACTCAAAGGAAGGTTAGTGTAGGCAATAGTGACAAAGGAATTTACAGGTTGACGGGCAACACAGAAGGTGAGATGGTTTTGGCCAGAGCTGAAGCAAGCGATGGTTTCTGATGCAAGTTGTTGTTCCCAATCCAGTGGAAGCAGAGCCGTTATAGTCACTAAGTTAATCAGTGCAAGAAAATAAGAGTACAATAAAAACACCAAACTGATTATGCTGAGTGCGGTGCCAACAAAATCTGGACAAAAAGGAAGGCAAGAAGAAACATACCATGGTAGAAGTTGATGAGAGTCTATACTGGTAGCATCAATAGTTTTCTCCCTATTCTTGTTACTTAATGGTGTACCTGCCATGTTGATCTCTGCTAGTGGAGCATTCAAACTGCATAAAAGTAGAGGTTCAGAATTCACCATAACAAATGCGTGGCTGACAAATGAATCATCAAAGTCACATGCAGGTGAGAAAGGAACACTGGTGAGGTCAGAATTATACTATTCATTGAAGTTTCTAAGCACAACTGATGAACTAAATTCGAGTTATGATTAACCAAGTGAAGCACAGAAGAGGAAAATGACAAAAACAACACCAGCAAAGTCTTCTTGCAGCGGCTGTTGATTAAATTGGCAACAGGGTTACCCTCGAAATGTGGAAGGTAGGTAAAAAGGATAATTAGCATGCGAGCGAACCCATACAACTGAGTTTGCATCAACAACTTATAATGAAGCCACTGAAGGTCCAATGAAGTTGTTATAATGATTATGGTAAGAGAATAAAATTTTCAGGATATGGGGTATGCCAGTTAGCAGTAATTCGCTTCTCCACTAACTTCCTTTAGCCTACCATTGGTGACTAACTTCGTCTTCAGCTACTATCTCCGCAGTCCGTATGGGCTTGAGCCTGTGGAACTGTTGGTGACATTGCAATGTGAGTTGCAGAAGCATATGCGTTCGATGCATGTGAATTCCATGCAAACAAAGCATTGAGGGTAAGGAAAAGAGTAGGCAAAACCAGGGTAGAAAACATTCATCAAACTTGAAGGTGGCCATGAATGTAAGTCACTCTAAACTGCAAACCCACAACTACTACAACTACTACAACTTCTACGGAACAATCAGCAGCAAACCCATACAAACAGTCGAAGAGAAGCAGTTCAAGTATAACCATCAAAGTGTTTTACGGAAACACCCGTACGAATCCTACTTAGCATGATTGATACACGTAAAACAGAGAACCGGCAGAAACAAAACAGAAAGGCAACTTACCATTCATTTTTTACGATTACAGTCTCCTTCTTGATGGAACATTTCTTTTTTATGGAAATAGTTGAGAACAGGGACCTAAAGCAGCGAGAACTAAAGCTCATGGGATGGTTTCTTCTTTTACAATCAATGTACATCAACCTGTGAAAGCAGATGATGGTAAATATAATTAGTATCATGTGGAGGATGAAAAGTCCAGAGATGAGAGGGGAAGGAAACAAACTTGGGAATCACAATCAATGAAAGGTTCTAAAACTTTGAGCAACGAAGTTAAATGGCATAATGTGTTGAAGCTGCCAAGTTAAATGGAACTTGCAGAAGCAGCATCACAACAGCAGGCAAAAAAGTGCAGCAGCACAAAAAAATAGAAATTGTTTGACCCATCTAACTCAGGATGCGAACAATGATATTTGTTGGTGTGGGGTCGACTCACGATCCGTTCGTCTGATCTCGTCGGGAGGGAAATGACCTGTGAAAGAGTCGGGGTTGCCCCCCGGATTAAGCTCCGACGGTCAAGTTAGTGTCGGTTCGTGGAGAGAGTTGAGAGAATAGATAGAGAGATAAAGTATAGAGAGATAGTAGAAAGTGTAAAGTGAGGAGCCAGGAGAAGTCCCTTTCTTTGGAGGGCTTCAAGCCCTTATATACCTGTAGCGGGTGTCGAGCGTTGGGCATCGCCGATTATGCGCCCTCCTGTTTAGTCTGTGCGCTCTGTCCCTTAGTAACACCCCCAACAATTGCCCCCCAAGCTGGTGGTGAGTTTTAATTCATCACTAGCTTATATTTTATTTTTTAAATCTTTGTCGGTAATTTTGGGTGGGGCCTATGTACCCCAATTGCCCCCCAGCTGGTGGCGCGTTTGAGTGACGCGGCGCCAGCTTCTTGCGTCTTGCCCCCCATTAGCGCCATTAACGCTTAGGATAGTAAAATATTTTAAAAATTTAATAATGATGGAGGGATAGAGTACTTAGCTTTATATTGGCAGTGGCGGCAGGAGTAGTTGAAAGGCGGGCGCTGCGCCGTTGAAACAGAACCTGAGTGGTAGCCTGCAGGTTGTTCTTTCGAACTGGGCGCGAATAGTGCTGGACTATTGCTAATTTTTGTTCTTTCGAACTAGGCGCGAATAGTGCTGGACTATTGCTAATTTTTTGTTCCGTGGAACTGGGCGCGAATAGTGCTGGACTATTGCTAATTGTTGTTCTTTCGAACTAGGCGCGAATAGTGCTGGACTATTGCTAATTTTTTGTTCCGTGGAACTGGGCGCAGAGTGCTGGACTCATACTAATTTTTTGTTCTTTCGAACTGATTGGGCGCGAATAGTGCTGGACTATTGCTAAGTTTTGTTCCGTGGAACTGGGCGCAGAGTGCTGGACTCATACTAATTTTTTGTTCTTTCGAACTGATTGGGCGCGAATAGTGCTGGACTATTGCTAAGTTTTGTTCCGTGGAACTGAGCGCAGAGTGCTGGACTCATACTAATTTTTTTTTTTTTTTTGTTCTTTCGAACTGATTGGGCGCGAATGTTAAAATTCAGACGCCACACCGTTGAAACACAAGGTACTTGTGGCCTGCTGGTAAAGATGCTTGTCTTGTGGAAGAGTGGCGCAGGTTCAAAGGCTGGCGGCGACAATAATTTTTTGTGGAAGAGTTAAGCGCCTGTTGGGCCGGGCATGTGAACGAAGCGGGCCGATCCGCGTGGAATAGCGAGAGGGATGGGAGTGAGGGCCGTGACTGTGGGCGGACTTCGATTCATGAGTGCGGGCCGCGACTCGGGCTGGCGCGAGCAAAAGGGTAAGATCAACCTTCCGCGCTCAATTGACAACTATTGTTGCGTAGTCCACTGGTTCCGTTTGCTTGCACGCGAATGGTTGGTCAGCGGTTCGACGCCTGTCTACCACCCACGATTTTTTTTGGGGTGCCTCGCGCACGACTGAAGGGTGGAGCGGGGCGCGAGTGGTTTTGAGGCGGAAGGTGGGCCGGGTGGCGCGAGCTGAAGGGTGGAGCGGGCCGCGAGTGGGTTTGAGGCGGAAGGTGGGACGCGAGTTGGGCCGCCTGTGAGTCGGGCCGCGAGTGCGCTTGGGCGCGAGCAAGGGTGCAGGAGGTTTTAAGTTGGCCGCGCGCCATTGAAACACAAGGTGTGCTTGTAACCTGCTGGTAAGGATGCTCGTCTTGTGGAAGGGTGGCGCGGGTTCGAATCCCTGTGGCGACAAAAATTTTTTGAAGCGAAGCGGAGCTTGGGGACGCGAGTTGTGTGCGGGCCCATCTTGCCGCGCGCTTGTGAACAAGGAGCGAGCCCATGTGGTATGGCGGGTTGTCACGCGGGCTTGAGGACGCGACGGCCCATGTTGCGCGTCTTGTGGGGCGGCGGCGGTTGAGTCCGCATCAAGTGGTGGGCTTAATTGATCCGCCGCGGAGTGGAGCCCTGACCTGGCGGGGCGCGAGCTGTGTGTGGGCCCAGATGGGGTAAGGTGGGCTGTAGACTTGCACGCGAGTCTGGGCCGCGAGTGGAGGTGTGGAGCGGGCTTAAGAGGCGGGGGATGCGCCTGTGGAGATGGGCTTGTAACCTGCTGGTAAGGATGCTCGTCTTGTGGAAGGGTGGCGCGGGTTCGAATCCCTGTGGCGACAAAAAAATTTTTGAAGCGAAGCGGAGCTTGGGGACGCGAGTTGTGTGCGGGCCCATCTTGCCGCGCGCTTGTGAACAAGGAGCGAGCCCATGTGGTATGGCGGGTTGTCACGCGGGCTTGAGGACGCGACGGCCCATGTTGCGCGTCTTGTGGGGCGGCGGCGGTTGAGTCCGCATCAAGTGGTGGGCTTAATTGATCCGCCGCGGAGTGGAGCCCTGACCTGGCGGGGCGCGAGCTGTGTGTGGGCCCAGATGGGGTAAGGTGGGCTGTAGACTTGCACGCGAGTCTGGGCCGCGAGTGGAGGTGTGGAGCGGGCTTAAGAGGCGGGGGATGCGCCTGTGGAGATGGGCTGGTGGGAGGCTGATGAGCGGCGGGCCCACATTGAGAACAGCAGCGCTTAGCATAATGTCCGGCGCATTTTGCTCCATTTTCACCTTTTTTTTTTTTTTTTTTTTTTTTGTGGGCAAGTGGCCACATTGAGAACTGCACCTGTCTTTTCTTCTGACGGAGAGAGAAATTGATTTGACTATTCCCCCTTTTTGATTTGCCGAGACCACTACTTGTACTTGAGTAGTCCACCTTTTTCAGAGGTCGGCGACAGAACGGGAGGGTGGCGACGTGACAGCAGCAACTGCAGTGACAACTTCTTCTTCGCGTCGTCGGGGCTCCGACCTTGACATGTCGCGGCGACCAGATTTTCTTTCTTTCCAGCTGCTACTGCCTGTGGTTCGCGGAGGAAAGTCCCTTCATGGGGAAGAGGAAGTCGGCGGTGGACCCAGCTGCAAGCTGCTTCTTCAGATCGGCGATCTCCTTCGCCTTGGCGCCGGCGGTGACGACTTCTTCTTCGCGCCGTCGGAGCTCCGACCTTGACATGTCGCGGCGACCAGATTTTCTTTCTTCTTCCCAGCTGCTACTACCTGTGGTTCGCGGAGGAAAGTCCCTCCATGGGGAAGAGGAAGTCGGCGGTGAGTGTCTTGGAGGAGGAGCAGCCGCCGGCCAAAATCTGTAAATTTTACAGTGTTGTTTCTTCGATTGGATCTGGTTTGTCTCGGAAGGTGACGAGGGCGCTCCGGAGAGAGGCAGATCTGATTGAATTGACGAGGAAGACAGATGAGGAGAGGCTCTGCTAGTCTTCTTTTGATTTTTGAGAGTTGATCGACTTTTCTTCTTGTTCGAGCAAAAGAAGATATCCCTGGATCTTGGTGGAATTTCGTTGCTCAAGCTCTTTCCCCTGTTTTTAGTTTCCGCTGCTTGCAGTGATCGATGAAGAATCTGCCTTCCCTTCTTTTGAGTCCGACGAACGAGTGTGTAGCCTGCCCCACGGTGGGCGCCAATTGTTTGACCCATCTAACTCAGGATGCGAACAATGATATTTGTTGGTGTGGGGTCGACTCACGATCCGTTCGTCTGATCTCGTCGGGAGGGAAATGACCTGTGAAAGAGTCGGGGTTGCCCCCCGGATTAAGCTCCGACGGTCAAGTTAGTGTCGGTTCGTGGAGAGAGTTGAGAGAATAGATAGAGAGATAAAGTATAGAGAGATAGTAGAAAGTGTAAAGTGAGGAGCCAGGAGAAGTCCCTTTCTTTGGAGGGCTTCAAGCCCTTATATACCTGTAGCGGGTGTCGAGCGTTGGGCATCGCCGATTATGCGCCCTCCTGTTTAGTCTGTGCGCTCTGTCCCTTAGTAACACCCCCAACAGAAATAAAAACTTGAAACCGAAGGATTCTGACAGTAAAAAACACTGCTTCCTAAACATGAATGTGAAATCAAGCAGTATGTTTGTGTAACTCGAAATTTTGAGCCCTTGGTAGCAATTCTTTTGTGCTAACAATAAAATAATTTCTTGACCCATCATAAACACAAACAAAGGGAGATTAGAAAGCAAAACATAAATTCAATTGCTCTTCTCCGAACCAAAGCGAACAGGAACAAATTGAGAATTTCAGAACAACAAAGAGGAACAGATTGAAGAACAAAACAGAAATATTAAATTGATTTTCAGTAGTAACTCAGATTAGGTTGGTTTCAGTCTCAAGTGGCAATTTCGTCACCTTCTTGCCATCTCTCACCTTATCTCTTGTTAGCATTGCCCATCTGGTAATCCCACAGTATCAGATTCTTAGCTCTACCCCTCTTAAAGATCAAAACTTGTAAGTGCTTTCAGTCAGAAATGTATGTTCTAAAGTCCTCCTAGCTCTTTACTCTTTGGTTTTTGCTTATCCCAGAAAATCCTTCCTAACCTGAAGATGGTCTGGCATTGATGGTGAATGGGACCTTGTTTTTGCTGCTGCTCCATGGTTAGCATGTGCCTGCAACAGTAAAATCAAGTGAAGTGAGAAGCAAGTTCATTTTTTGGGGTTGCGGTAGGAGGAAGATCAACCGGTGAACAAAAGAGAAAATAGAGCTCACCACATCGGCGGTTCCACCAACTGGCACCCATTCCTCCTGCTTGTCCATCATCACCACCATCGTCAGTTTCCGTTGTTCCTACCCATGGATAGGGCTCGAGTATGAACTCGACGAAACCATGTCATCGGAATCTTAATTGCTACCGCCGTATTCTGCAGCAAGAGTCCAAAATCTAGAAGGTGAATTTCAAATATCAACAAAGAAGACTGAGAAATAAGAGCTCACCGTCACAGGCGATTTTCCACCGCCGTTGGTCCTCCTGTCTCAAATCGATTTCGTCTTCCTCCGCTTCCGGGTTCGGATTGCACGGCTACCAACAGCGAGGAAACTTTTAGGGTTTCGTTGGAAGAGAGAAGAAGGGGATTATGGAGGGGGAAAGAGGGGGAACCATTTGTCTCCCACCAAGTACAATCGTAGCAAACTTGTGGGGAAAGAACAACACTGTAGAAGCAGAAGAAAGACATGGTTTGGATGTACGGGAAAGGCAAATCGGAGTGACGAACTGACGGGAAGCGTGCCCTTCCAGATTTTCGACTCCAAAAGTATAGACATGGGCTTGATGTACGGAAAGCATGGTAGAGTGGACAGGGAAGGGGAAGGTTTCATCTGTCGAGGCTGGTAGGCGGTAGCGATTCCGAAAGTAAGAGCTCGTCGCTGCAAGGTGAAGTTAGAAGAGGTTGCTGAGAGGGTGTACACAGAAAACGACAAAATAATCTACAGTAACCAGCGTTTTTGGCCAATAAAGCGTACCTACCTTTTATGTTTTAAAGAATGATCCGATCCAATGGGCCTGGGCCTGGGCCTGGGCTCGGACCCTGCCTCTCCATGATTGTATATTGATAGCCTTGATTACCAAATCTTGACTAAACGTTAGCATGCCATACATCATTCAATATCTATGTTGTGACATAAATGCAATAGGGCTTTTAAATCTTCATGTTAGTTATGCAAGCTAACTATATGAGTGTTAACCAGATCCTATGCATTCATCTACAACGTGCTTCGGCTAATCACTTTGGTGAGCCTATCAAACTTCAGGTACTCGAATTGCCCAGTGTGTCAACTTTTACTTGTTTGCTTGATTAGAGTTTATCAGTTAAATACTTCAATTCATTGTGTTTGTTTCAGGGCCATATCAGTTTCCCCTTTGTTCTGAACCTGCTTCCATTCACATTTAGAGGCCTGCAATCTCAAAAGCAATACTCTCGTTTGAGAAGTCCTCATGTGCAATTTGATACGGTAGTGCCAGCTTGCATCAGTGGCCAAGATTTAGCCGCCGAAGAAGCATTAGTGGCAGATAAATTTGAATGCTCCGAGCAATTACAGACCATTATGGGAGAAGCCAAGCCGGTTGAGATCAAAGTCAGTTTGGAGACCATGGAGACTGATGCAGGCTTCCCAGCTGCAGACAAGGTATGACGAACACAACCTAACTTATGATTTTTTTCATTCTATAGATTTGAGAGTTAATAAAATTGGGATTTTGATGCCCACGTATTATGGTAAGTAAGAAGTTTTGAGAAGGTAGGAAGCTTATTTATTTATTTATTTTTAATTGTAAAACCTAACAGATCACAACAGAAGATTTTCAAAGAGTCCTCTTGTTTGTTCATCTCCTCTCTATACACGTTTTTCTATATAAGCAACTCATCCTAGTGAATTAATCTTCGTATTTTGGTTGAGAAGCATACTAGGAATTGGTGTCATGGAAGGGTAGTTTCTATTTTTCCCGATGCCTTTCTTCTTCAGTCTTATCGAACCTGCTGACACTACTTTTTTGTTTATGTTATGTTCAGGTTAGACCGGACAGCGGCAGAATCGATTGAGGTAAAGTTTGTCTTACAATGTCCACAATTCTTTTGTGAAGTATTTCAGGAACCTAACACTCTTGGTCTTTCTTATGCAGATCAGAAACCTACATTCCCTTCTGGCTGACTTGGGAGAATGTCAGCTATCTATGAAAAGGGAATTGAAGGTTGATATGAACGACATTAAGACAACACTACATTCGATATGGGACCTGCTGATTGGGAGGTCGGATCAGAACTGTGAAAATGGCAGGGGGAAGAAGAATGACGATGTGGTTGAAGTGTTGAACATAAGTTCTGATAGCTCCTCATTGGCAACAAGGAGTAAAAATAATGCGACAAACACAGCATCAAGGAGAAAGGTTGTGTAGTCTCCTCCCTCTTCTGTTTCTGTATTATTTGCTTTTCTTTTTGGTATACGGATTTTAATACAATTGTTAAATGATAGGGGAAAGGTTTTATGAGGTCTCCAATTAAGTTGCGGAGTCCTATTAGGACCCGTCAATATACGGAGAGGAGAGACGGCAAAATGCAGGTGGTTGGCCTCTTCATCACTACGAAGGCCCTATCAGAAATAGATCGGAAGTTGATCAACCACGTTTTTTATCCGACTAATAATGCAAGGTATTTAAATAACTTTGTTTTATTGTAATTACTTTAGTAGAATTCATTTTTTTCAAAAATTAAGGGCACTGTGAAAGATTGAATTGTCTATTTTGTTGGTTGTAGTGAGGTGTTTGTCAAGTCTCCATGGTTTCATTTGAACCGTGAAGAGGTTACTGTCTTACAGCCAGAAATACCATTGTCAACCAAGGTTCGTATACAACTCATCTTGCCTTTATAAATGGGCATAGTTAACGAGCAAGCCTTTTTACATAATATACTTTTTGGTTTATATATTTGTGCAGGTCATCACTATGTGCGTTGACCTGTTAACGGTGCTGGAGATGCATAATGACAAACGTGTGAATTGGTTCCTACCTCCTGCATTTGCTGTAAGTTCATTACTTTTATACTGTCCTATTCGGCATATTTTGGTAGCATTGATCATGGAGGCGGCAAAACAGGTTATAGTCTGTAGTGAATATGATAACTTTTGATTCGTTAAAACTTTCGCCCTTTTGAATGATTTAGTAATGATGCCAAACTGTACTCAATTGTCGTTACTTGTGGATCTTGTTAACTAATGTGAAAGGTTTTATGGCTGTTGCTGTCCAATAAGTCTCATACTTAACTAGTTATTGTTAGAACTAGTTATATGCAATCTTATGAAGGTATAAAAAGAGTGAACCAGTTGTTTAACTACTTATGATTTGATATATTTATACTTTCAGGTGTACAGTGCTACTGGGGATCGTGTCTTTGCTGCGTCTAGGAAAACAATGAAAACCGTATACGGTTCTGAGGAATTCAATGATTGTGAGAAGGTAACTTGTGGTAAATGCTGGGAACTTCTCAAAATAGCGTACCTGATAGCATTTCTGTTGAGTCTTACGTAATATGTGTACATGTCAGATTTTCGTCCCTGTTCTGCTGGACAACCACATCTTTCTATGTGTTTTTGACCTGAAGAAAGAGGTGATAGATATCTGGGATTCACTTCCAAAC